TATCACAATCGTAAACTTAGTCCTGTGAAAGTGTTAAGATTTTCATTTTATTTCTTTTAAGGTGCTGCTATTTTTACATTTCAAGAAAAAATTGTGTGAATTCAGACATAAAAGGGCAATTGTGATAAGAAGCTTTACTTATAACAGAATATCTTATGTGTGGGGATGAGATAAAATACTTTATTTTCACTTTTTAAGGAATGGTTAAATAACTGGTTCACATGTGCACTTTTTGCGAGTTATGATCTTTTTTCTAAATTTTATGGAAGAAATATGATCTCATCTCAAGGAACCAAATGATACCTTCAACCATTTGTCAACATGAGTTTTTTCTTCCAAATGACCACTTCTTAAATGGAAGAAAATTTTGGCTGATAAAGGAGTTTTATGTAGTCTTATATATAATCAAAATAGTTTTCTATAACCCAACTTGAAATTATTTCCCCTATACCTTTGAAAGTTCTGAATTTCTTTCTTTTTGTCCTTGAAAAATGTTATGAAATATGACCATAAAGGAGTCACCTAACTTCTTTTAAATATGTGAATGCAAATATTTTTTAAAAATATTATTTATTGTGTTGTTCCAGTAATCAATCTCGCAATGTCTTTTTCTCAGGAAGTATCATTATTTACATTTGTACTTGTTTTATATGCATGTAGTTATAGGTACAAGAAATTAGTGCAAAAACTTCAGTCTGCTGTTGAGCTTATCAGAATGTACAACTATCCAAATCAAGTGTAAAGTTTGGGAACTTACCATATACTGAACATGTTATATCAACATATTTAACTCAGTAACCCCAGATCTAATAAACTTTCACTCCTATACATTATATCCACAGAAAACTTGGGCTAAATGACAAAAGGATGCTCAGGTATAACTTACACCCATATAAAATATTTGAAGATGTTTCATATTCTTGCCTTCATTTTATCTGATGAAAATAAATGTCGGTAGATGGACTGACCCTCACCCTAATATTGTAGGACTTCTCAAACAGTTTGGATTAGGTTAAATTAGTTAAACCAAGAAATAGTGGGTTTGTTTTCCCCAATTCAGCCACCAAACTGTGAAAGAGGAGAGGAGAGGAGGGATTCCTCTTCTGACAGAGGAGTTGTGGAAAAAAGTTGCCATCTCAGAATTGCTCCTGTACTGATCCGCAGTTATTGGTAAAATCTGCCAACAGAAATGCTGAATATCTGGTTAGACTGGGGTGTTACCCAAGGGAAACAAGATATGAGCTGCATGTTTTAGATATGGTCTTTGTCATCATGATAAACATTTGCGTAATGTTTTTGGTGGAGTGAGAAGACAGAAGGAACACAGATGTATATTGGCTAGTATGACCATATGAAGTATCTAGAAATACATGGGGCGCTATTGGAAAAATGAACAATTTGGATCTTTTCTTTGTTCAACTTCTGGTTTTTAGTTGATTTTTCCAAGGTACAATTACAGCAAATCACAGCCAAGTTATAAACTGTAATGAATAGGATCATAGGTATGAATTTCCTCAAGTTGTTCTCCCAAGAAGAAAGATTGAAGTACAAAGAACAGATTGAAGAATTAGCAAATGATGATTTATCTTTCGTCATCATTTTTCCAAAATATCTCTCGTAAGTAGCAGTCATCATGTTTAGATGGCAACAACTTGGAATGCAGTTGCCTTATAATGATTATGCCAAGATTCAACTAATTTTACCAAATAAACTATATAGAAACTTCTTGTAAGAAGTTGTAAGAATTACACAATTCTGCTATTCATAGTTTCTTTTGAAATAGATGCAGCTTTGTTTAATGAGATGGGTAGTGATATAGTGCTCTTAATGCACTTAGTTTGGTGAAGTCATTGCTTAGTATACGATAATTTCTTCTTAATTAGAATCATGTGAATGTAGTCAGATGAGGCAAATACAGAGGTTGAGAATCAGGAGATGCATCCAAAAAACCCCACCTCACAACCCCAAACCCAAAAACCTACTGTGTGCATCGGGATGTTATTTACTTCCAGGAGTGGTCTTAAATGGGCTCTGTTGCTTCAAGTCTTATTTGTCATTCTGGCCACAAACGTTTATCAAATCCCTTGAAAGTTTTGAGTTTTTTGTTGCAATGATACACTGCTTAAAGTTGTGGCTTCACTTTAATAATAATAGAACTGTTTTATATAGCAATTCGTATTTTTTTTACAAAGTATATGTTGGGCTAAATCAGAAGTCCTTGTTGACCAAAATAATGTCAGGTACAGTATTACCAACTTTCTTGAAATATAATAGTGTTCCTTTCCCCTTTGCAACTATGTTCATTAATAAGTTTAAATAAATTCGCATTAGGTTAAACTGCATGTCCATATACACATACATTGTGTATGTGATTTGCAGTGAACAAATATTTTGTGGCTACTTAATTTCTGACTACAAAGTTGTGATAATATTAGATTTGGGCTTGCTGTGCATAAAGTGTGTCAAACTTCAGCTACAGACCAGGGGGTGAAGTTGGTCAATTTAATTCCCCAAGATCTAAAGAAGGTCGGTATCATTTCATATAGCCCTGGCAGAGCAGATCATTACCAGACACAAATCTGTTCGTTACATGCCGAGGGTTTATAGCAAAATAAATAGACTGTCATCATAAGTTCAGAAAATTGTGTGTTCGACCCACGATAATGTGTAAAGGGCGTTTAATAGAGTTCAGCATTTATTCGTTATCTATATGCGGACAGAGACGGCGGTAGCGTTATCAGCTTTTTAAAAAAAATTCGGTAGTTTTCTATGTCACGTGACATGCCTCACAGACACACACACGCGCACACACACACCCCCCCATCTTGCTCCCTCGCTCTCTGCGGCGCAGTTTTGATTTTAGTCACAGCAGAAGGCTTAGCCACAAGAGATTCCACTGGTTCAAACCAGCGTAAACCAGATTTGGTGTGGTTTTTTTTTTCTTTTAGCCTACAAAGGAACAGATTACCTCTTGTATCGAATTCTGTATTGAAAAAAAAATATCTTTGTTTCAAAAATACGCTGATTATCATAACCTAAAATGGTGGCTGTACACGTCTTAATGCTGTTTACAGTTGAGTGGTGAACATAATAAAAATAATGTTTCAAACTAGAAAAGTAAAGATAACACATTTTCATCAAGAGCATTGTTAAATGGGGGAAAAATACATCTTTTGTTAATTTGAATGAATATCTTTCAGCCAATGTTAAAAAACCCCAACCCTCTCCCATTACTTAGCTTAGCTGCAAATCCCATGCAGAGCTTAAATTCAGCCATGCAGCACAAACAAGATAGAACATTTTTGTTTGGGACCTATTGAAAAAACAAATGTGCAGCATTTTAAAACTCTCATTGATTATAGCAGGGTGGCATGCCCAAACGGACTCTGTTGCGGGAGAGTAGTTTTAAACTTTGGCCCTTTAAGTATCATAGTCAACTGAAGAATGGTGGCCTCGGAAAGAAAAGATAGCTATGTGATCAACTCCCAGATCGTCTCTTTCTAAAGAGCCTTAATGTTTGCCTTTTTGGGGAAAAAAGGGGGGGAAGATCTGGAGAAAGAGTCCAATTTATGATAGGCCAAGCACTTGAATTTAAGCACTGGTTTGGCGGACAGTGCAGTTTTCTTTATTCCAAATTCTAGCAAAGTTCCTTTAGCTACGTACTGAAGAGCTGTTTCAGTTTAAGTCGGTGTGGTAGTAACCCTCCTAATTACATCTCGTTAGAGCCTCGTTGTCCGTTTTGGTAACAGGCTGAGGCGTATGTTCAGTTTTAGACGAGCCATATGAAACAATAGCGAATAATGGCGGTTCTTTTGTTTCCTTCATGCCGGTGAGACTTTATTAGTAGTAAGCTTTTTCAGCTTACACACGTGTTGAAAATTAGTGTTATGAAACTGTAGGTGAAGTATCAGCATAAACTGAGATAATGATGTAGCTGTTGTAATTTCGAATTCAACTGGGATCGGTGAAAGGACTGTAATTTTTTATAAACAGCCATTCTTATGCAGGCATTTGTTGTGAGTAATTATATGTTTTGTTCCAGTACAAATAATTTATCTCTCTGTCTAAGGGGAGAGCATATTACAACATAGCTTGATAATCAGACTGGGGTTTTATTTAGTTTTATAGTAAACCTGCCAGAGCAATACTCTTAGTGTTGATTGTGTTGATTTACAAGCATAAATTGATAAATATAAATATGTATATACTATATAAGTGTACGCACACACACACTATGTGTGTATATATACACACACTGCGTAATGGTCTAGGCTTAAGAACCTGGAATGAGTCTTTTCTGAGGGAAATATGTTTCATGTTTTTCCCTATTCTTTTGTTTATTTTTAAATATGCTATGCAACAAATCGTAATTCTGAGCCATTTAACAAAGCAGCTTCATTTTTTTTTAACCAGAAAAAAAATCCTTTATAAGAGGTTCAATAATAAAATTAGATAATATAATTACAGTAGAACTTGGGTTTATAAAAACTGAAATACTGTTTACATGCTATAAAGATGCAGTCAGCTATTAATAAGTTAGATCTGCTAGTAAAATAAGAAATCAGTTGTCACAACTAAAATATACAGAAAACATTCTGAAAACTTGTATATACAAAACCACTTCAGCTGTACAGTCTCCAAAGAGAGGAATAGTAAACTTGTTTTTTTCTTTATAATATAGACTTCTATGAAGTCATTCCCCTTTATTTCATGATGGTGTCTTAGATGTGGTTTAAAAGAGAATTTCACACTATTCTCTTTGTTTAATGTGACAGTGTGAGAAAGTGATCTTTATTCGTTCAAAAAACTCTGCATGTAGTCTATGTTTAGGTTCTTTTAATGTGTTTGTCTGTGATTTTTAAATGCTAAACATGTAAACAGATAAATTGTCAATGTTAATTCTGTATCCTGTCACACAACTGATCTTTCTTTCCTGCCATTTCTTTCCTTTTTATCTTTTTTGTGCGTTCATGTTGCAGTTGATAAAATTACGTGAAGAGGTGAGTACTTTCTTGCTTTTTGTTGTCTAGCTTTCCCTTTAAAGCTGAGTTTCTAAATCTGAAGTAGATCTTTTTGTTCATTGTTGAAGTAGGGAAATCTACGCAAAGCAAAAATATTGATTACATTCCTTTAAAATATTCACTGTTGTGCCTCTTTTTCCCTAATAATTGTATACTTACATAAGAATCTCTAGATCAAACCTTAGAAATTAACATTCTCTGATAGTGGAAATTTTTTTAAAGGCACTAGAAAAAGAAGGGGAAAAAAAATCCTATTATTTGATCTCTGCTAGAATACCATGATCAAATCAGGTACTGTAATAGTCATGTTTACATCACAAAATCTTTGATAGGGTAGGCACATTTATAAACCGGTATTGAAAGTAAAAGCGTTGCTTTGGTAAAAACCGGTGCTGAAACACTGTAAAAATTACACAGTATTTCACAATGTTTTGAGTTTGGTGTGAGGTATTCAAGTAGCTTATGTATTATATTGAATATTGTATACCCACTGAAAATACAGTACAGGTAGACCTACGCATGCACATCAATATTTATTATTTATTTGTGAGTGCTGTAGATCTGTAGGTGTAACACTAGAGATCAGTATTCCAGAACACCTTTCTTCCAGTCATAAAATGACTCATAAATATTTAGAGAGAGAAGCCTATTTTAATGGTCAGTTCCTCAAATGTTTCAGTATATTTTCTGAAATTAATCTCTGTTACTTACTGCTGTAGCAAAGCAGGTATCTGAACTGCTTTTTTTTATTATTTCCCGATAGCTGCCAAAAAGAAGGTCTCAGTAAAGTCACAATTACTTACAGGTCAGATTTCTGAATGGTTTCGTATGGAGGGTTTGAACCAGTGAAGTATTTGAATAAATATATTTAGAAGCATGAGTATTTTAACATCACATATTTGTCTGGTATCTTCTTTTTGAAACATGTATGCCCAGACATATCAGTAATGAATACTGAGCTCTGCAGGAAAGGATTTGTAAGTTTTAGAAATGGTGATGACAAAGAATTGTAAAGCAACCAGATTAAGGACAGTTACAGAGAATTCTTAAAAACAGTAAGATATTTGTGATATAAAGATTCTTTCACTAGTTCCCTGAACGTGTTATTTTCCCCTCTTCTTGTGTAGCTGATATTAATATCTTAAAGCTACAGAGTAAAACAGTTAACAAAAAAAATTTTAAAAAATAAACATGTAACCACATGAAAGCCCTCCCACCACTGCTGAGCTCCCCTCCCCAATAGTCCCAGTATTTAAACAGATGACAATATTGTTGCAAGGGTTTGTATAGCCTGATTTCTGAGATTTTTCAGAAGAACAAGGTTCATTTGCTCATCCCTTTAACAACACCTGCACGTCTGCTCCTATGCTTTTGTAAAAGAATGTAGTAGGCTCATTTTTGCTTGCAAACATAGGTTACAGTTTTATAAACATAAAGATTCCTCATTTGCAAATTTACTCTGTAAATTTAATCCGATATAAAGAACAAAGCTGCTACTGAACTGCTTTTCTGTTTGAAATAGCAGTGAAGACAAATAAGAAAACTCAGGATATTATTGTAAAGAACTGCAACTTGGGAGCTATACTGAACTCAGTCATACCTTTTGGAGCTTAGCAATCCTCTTTGTTAGCCACCTAAAAATTTTGACATTGCTTCTGCTAATTTTCTTTTTTGCTTTTGCTTGCTAGCCTCAGAACTTACTTTTTCCTCTCGCTGCATATTGTGAGAGCAGCAGCAAATAGAACTAAATAAAGGGATTTATTATTTTGTCTAGATCAAAATTGTACAGGTAGAGAAATAATTTAAAAAACAATTGTTAACATTCTGTTCTCTGCACTTAGGTACCTGCTATGTGTTGGATAGGTTGTAATTGCAATTTTTACACCCAATGCAAAATGCACATTAAAGTTTAAATGAAGGCTAGTACAGTGACTCAGGCATAATTCTTAACTCGTCACATAGTGAAACATCAAGGCATCCCCAATTATAGTTCTCCTAAGGAGGTATGAGCTGATCTTTAAAGAAATTGTGGTTTGCCATACTGTTTGTTAATAAAATCTGTGCTTCCTCTCATTACAGGGCTCTGTTCTAGCAGACTTGCCGTACACAGGCTTCCATGGAGGCTGTGTCGCTCTGTCTTTTGAGCTCCTGAGATCTCAGTTTGAATCCAGCCCACATGGAATGACTAAATCTCTAGTGATAGCATGCCACTTTGCAAAACTTCCTTATATAACTCCAGATAGAAGCTGTTTCTGAAGCTGCAAGATGCACTGAATCACCTCACTACCCACCTCACAGAGAACAGGGGATACTGTGGGAGAAGGAGGTTGGGGAGGGGTGGGAAGCAGTTGAAAGCATCAGCTGCTACTGTAGGGCGTTGATTTCATGACCAAAGGGTAGAGTGCTTCCAAACCCAAACAATGTAAATAACACCACCCTTTATAATAAAAATTAAGTTTCATTATAGAATCGCTTGGGTGGAAAGGTTCTGAAATCACATAAGAAACAGCTCTCAGTTAATGTTAGCACCGAGTTCACAGGGCTTTAGTATTCTAATTGCTCGCAGTAAGACTGAACTGAACTGTAGGCTTGCAATTTACTTTTTAGATTAAATGTGGCTTATTTAGTATATAAAATTACACAGTTAAATGCTAATTGTTTCTGTTGGGTAGCTTTTCCACATTGTAATGTGAAATCTGATTGTTTCCTCCCCTCTCCCTTAACATAGCAGGATAGTCTTTTCATTTCCAGTATACCACTACAGCACTATACATCTGTTCTGTAACTATAATGTTCTACTCCTTGTACTCACTCCCAGCATATGTTCTTTTTTTCTAAAGTATCTTCTCTGTAACTTTTAGGATTCTTACCTTCTAAACTCCTTCTTTATAACCCCCCCCCCCCTTTTCTCTTCTGCTTTACTTTCTTGAAAGACATCTATGTGATAGGGTTAGGTTTCTGATGTTTTTTACAAAGTTTAAAATATTTAACACTAGTTGTTCTTTAATATCATTCGGGGGGGCAGTATTTGGAGAAAGGCACTGCAGGCTTACACTTTTTTTTTTTCCTCCTAATGGTCAATGCAGAGGAACCAACAGATGTTATGAAAAGGTGGCTTTTAAAAAAAATTAAGCAAAATTAACACTAATTATCTATGTTGACCATGAGTACTAAGAACATGCACCACTCTAGTTGCGGTCATGATTTCAATTACAGCATTGTAACTTATGGTTTTAAATTTTATTAAGTGCTTGTGCTGATTTTTTTTTTCTTGGTGGTCTGCCCCCCATGAATGCAAAAGCCTTTTTTGCAATTTACTCTTAACCTATCCACTGTGTATTAGACAACTCTATTAATTATTATAGACTGTTATTGCAGCTTTTCTGACCTTCACATTGGGTCCTATCTGTGCTGATCTAAATGCATTGTTTTAATGATTTCCAAAAAAAGAATAAGAGAAGGGGGGGGGGGGGGGGGCAACACACAAAAAAAC